AAATTATAATTGATTTTACATTCAAATTGTAAAATATTCACAGTTCGTGGTAGTTTTTTTTAGAAAGTAAACTTGCTTTCGAGGGGAACATAGGAGTTATTTTCTAAGTCAACGTTGAACAGCTGATCTAATACGAGTATCAATGTTCATTTCCATAGCATTTTAACTTTGAACCCAACCCATAAGACAAGGGAATTCCTGAATCAAACATTGGGACAAACTAGCCTCCATGGAAGACTTTTTGATGGAACTCACCCGCATTTGCGTTACATGGACAGGAAAACCATGAAAACATCCCACGGTGAGCCAAGCGGCTCAGAAATTCTCAGCCATGATCTGTTTACCACTGAATAGAGTTTACATAAGTACTGAGATCGGTGCTTGCAGGATTCGTTTCAGCCAGCCACAGCTGAGGTTCAAACCTGGGACACCTCATTCTGAGGGGAACGCTCTATCTCCCAAACCACCGTTTCTCGCATTGGAGTTATTAGTGAGAAGACATTAACAAATTTTTTAGACTTGCGGAAACCTCGAAATTTCAGAAAAATTGAGCCAGAAATAATTTACAAACAAGACTGCAAACTTCAATATTTTTATCAAAATATTTTATACAGTGGTAAACAATTAAAAACTAAAGCGATTGGTAATTTTAACAACATTTTAATAGCTTTACCTAGTGAGAAATTGAACAAAGAGGCATTTTATATGAACTTTTGACCATGTAGTGGTGTGGAAAATAACTTAAAATCAAATTTACGTAATAGCATTTAAATATAAACTTAACAATTTCTTTAACTTAACAATTTCTCTAACTTAATAAACTTAACAATTTTTTTTCTCTAAAAAATTATCAAGCACCGTACAAGTATAATTGACTCCGGGTGGTTGAGTGGTAGCGCTTTGCTCTCCCGTGCCACAGATTATAGGTTCGATCTTCGGGCCGGGCAAGGTTGACTCAGCCTTTCAGCCCTGCAGTGGGTCGATAAATGAGTTCCAAGTACGTTTGAGAACTAAACACTGGGGATTATGTGTTCGGCTGACCACCTAACCGGAACACCTGCTCCTGCACGCCAGATCCCAAGGTCAAGAAAACTGAAATGGGCACAGTAGGCCTTGGCCCTCTATGGGCTGTCGCTCCACTGGGATTAGTTAAGTACAAGTACCTCATAATCCCATTAAATATAGAAAAGTGGTTTAGAAATTATGATATTTTTTCCCATTTTTCTAGTTGCAATAAGCTAGTTTTGACCACTTATTAGGTAGCTTGACTCGGCGGAGAAGGCCATCTATACATTAAATCAGGAAAATCTGTAAAGCCTCACGGTGGAATGGAACAGATGGCAAAGACTACTTGGGACGGCCTTTGACATATAACAGGCTGCAGTACCTTAAAAAAAAGAACCTAGTTTGACAACCAGGATAAAGTGATTTTATGATTGAGATAACTGCACGGTTCGCACAGTCCTTATAAAAAAGCAGGCAGCATTTTTCTTTAAAAAAAAAACGGCGAATTTCTTTTTACAAGCTTTTATTTTAATAATCAAAATTTAAATCCAAAGATTTTGTAACCAGAGATATAATTATCTAAAGTTATTAAAATGTTGTGATGATTGCGAAAATAAATTTTTTTTTGTCTCACTTTTACTGCTGATTTTGTAATTTTTTAAGCACCGTATGAGCCCTTGACATATGTGTCTTTAAAAATTGAGTGAAAACTCGTGTTTATGTATTTTATAAGAATTTTGTCAATTAAACGTGGAATTTATAAATTTTTAAAATCAGATCATTGTTCAGAATTAAAGTCAAGCTATGGCGCATATAATAATAATCCAATCATTAATCACACGAAAACTTACAACCATAATTTTTTCACTTATAATAAGTGAATAATTTACTTATAAGTCGTTACTTATAATTCGTTACTTATAAATTCACTTATAATTCGTTAAATAAGTTATTCAGCGAGTTTCCGATTCTCATTTATTGACTTCAGGTACGGAATATCAAATCTGAAATAAATTTTGTAAGGAACGATGCAGATTTTTTTAAAAATGATAATAATTTTTTTTTCTCTGATTGTATAAGTATATAAAAAGCGTATTGCTTTATATACATGCATATACACTTGTCTTCTTCTTTAGAAATAACACTTCAAATAAAAAAAACCATAGGACATTAATGTATCGCATAATAATGTGAAATACACCGAAGAGCCATTACATTATGACCACCCTGCTAATAACATGTAGGACTATCTTTAGCCTTCAAAACTGCTAGCACCCGCCCTGGCATTGATGCCACAAGGTTCTGATAGGTAGTCTGAGGTATCTGGTACCAAGCGCTCACCAACTGGTCCTGCAATTTCCTCACATTGCGAGGGGGTAGCGTGGCAGCACGAATTTGGTTTTCCAAGTAGGACCACAAATGCTCTACTGGATTAAGGTCAGGTGAATTTGGGGGCCAAGACAGGACTTGAAAGTCACTGGAATGTTCCTCGAACCAATCCATGACGATTCAACTCTTATGACATGGTGCATTATCCTGTTGGTAGACACCATTCCCCGCAGGAAAAATTGTTGCCATGAATGGGCGAACCTGGTCTGCAACTATGTTCAAGTAGCTTACAGACGTCAGGGATTGTTCTATGAAGATTATGGGTCCTAATGTGCCCCATGAAAATATTCTTCCTGGGCGAGAAAGCATGAAAACCTGGGCGAGCCCATTTTTATAGATGGAGGGTTGTCATAATGTAATGGCTCTTCGGTGCATATTATCGCATTCTTCTTACCACGAATTACGTAGCAGAAAAGTTAAAGCACTTGGTATTCACTCTAGTGAATTTTAAAATATCCTAGTTAGGATTACATCATCAAAGTGCAAGAAACCTAAAAGCTTGTAGAGAGAAACGAATTGCAAACGCTAAAATATCTGAGACCCATTAAAAAATCTCATGTAAAAAAAAAAAGTGTTTTCTGGTGTAAGAGAACAACTGGCCGGATGAAGCCTCCACACGGTTTTTTAAAGGTAGTCCGATCAGACCACTACGATGGTAAACCACATTACGAAAGAGCCATTTAATGGAAAATCTATTTAAAAAAATTTGAAAGTGGTTTCAAATATATATCTAAAAATTTGTGTAATTTATGAATATGATAGGCTTGTCTTATTTATTAGTCAATCACTACATGTTCAATTATCAAATACATTCCACTCAATTACTTTTAAAATAGAAATCGGAGGATAGAAGTGGAGGGTTTCTGATTTAGGAGGCGATGATGAAGCTGGTGCATCAATTAAATATTAGTCTGATTAATTAAATGTTAGTTTGTGGTTCCATTTTGCAAACCTTTTTGATTTCATCCTTGACAAATATTTTAACCATGAGAATATATCCAAAGAGTAGTCAGTACAGAAACACCTTGCATAAAATTATGAGAAAATGTGATATTTTTTTTTAGAATAAAAAACGAAACAAATTTTGAAAACAAAGCACGAAAAATGTTACATTTAACAAAGGATTTAAGATAATTCAATTCCTACTATTAGTTCTCGCTCTTCCTATATATATTTATATATCTTGTTCAAATTTTCAATCGTTAATAAAATACTTTTTATTCATCCACAGAAGTTCAAATACAATTTTTAATACTTCTAGTGGGTGAAACTTGATGTTAATACAGTTTTTTTCAAATGTTAATTAATTAATTAATTTTAGTTCTATATGGGGGAAAAATTTCTCTTATATAAGATATTTAGCAGGATATAAATTTAGGAATAAATACTGTCAGTGGCAAAGCGTGTAGATGGCTGGAAAAAATTTTTAACAAAAAAAATAAAAGTCCCAACTTGCTCCGGACAGCAAATATGCATTTCAAAGTTGTAGTTTATCAATTGTAATTCCTGGTTTAATAAATTAAATTTAGTAGATTTTTATCCACCACTATTTCTAAATAATTCGTAGGCTTATATAATTCACCACCATATATTAATGTCATGCTATACCAGAGATGCCAAATGCTCCGGAAACACCAAAATAATTAAAAAAACGGTAAATAACTACACACTAAATTTTGCAATTATTTGACAATTTTTTATTGCTTTTTAAAAGGTTTAGCATGATTTCAAATTCTTAAGTGGTAAATAATATAAGCCTACGAATTTTTTGGATATAGTGGTAGATTAAAATCTACTAAATTGAATTTATTAAACCAAGAATCACAATTTATAAACTACCACTTTAAAATATTTATTTGATGTCCGGAGCAGGTTGGCATCTCTGCTATACCTTATAAAACGTAACCAAAAATAATCAAATATTTGTAAAATTTACTTTGTTGTTACCGTTTTTTAAAATTAATTTGGCGTGTCTGGAGCAGTTGGCAACTCTGGTCCAATAACTAAAATAATCAAATATTTGTAAAATTTACTAAGTAGTTACCGTTTTTTTAAAAATTATTTTGGCGTGTCCGGAGCAGTTGGCAACTCTGGTCCAATATGGAAAGGAATATTGCAAGGAAATTCGCTTTCTATTTTACCTCTTAATATTATGATACAGTCATATGTACATACATATTTTTGTAAATTGTAACTATTTAACAGAGATGCCAACTTGCTCCGGACAGCAAATATATATTTTAAAGTGGTAGTTTATCACTTGTGATTCTTGGTATAATAAATTCAATTTAGTAGATTTTTATCCACCACTATTTCTAAATAATTCGTAGGCTTATATAAATCACCACTGTTTAATACTTATGTCATGCTATACGTATTGAAAGGTAAGCAAAAACAGTCAAATATTTGCTATATTTTCCTTGTAGTTATTTACCGTTTTTTTAAAATTAATTTGGCTTGTCCGGAACAGTTGGCATGTCTGATTTAATAAAAAATAACTAAAATAAAATTTTCTTTGTTGATCTAAGCAGGAATTAACTTTAAATTTTTTTTTATATTACTTGTTTATCAATAAAATATGAATAATTAGAATAATTATTACTTACTTTTACAGAAAAGTATTCACCATAACAACTTTAAACACAAATCAGCTCTGAAGAAACAAGAAAAAATCTACCTGATGCCAAGAGGATTTGTCTAGTACAATTGCCAAAGTGAAATTTTGCTATAAAAATCTCGTTAAAATTAATAATAAAACGCTAGTATTACACAAGCTTTTTTTTTGCTGTAAAAATGAAAGAAAAGTATTACAGCTTAGAATACTTTCGGCTTACTTAATTAACACTTTTGAATTTGTCTAGGAGCATATGAGGTGCTTAGCTTTATATTAACTCTATATATTTTCACCTGAGTAAAAACCCATTATAGGAACATAAAAAGTTAAGTGAATTTATTTTATGTGTTTTCTCGAAAATACCTGATTCACAAGGCAGTCACCTTCATTTTGTTTCACTTTATTTATACTTTGTTGGGAAAAAAAAGAAAATATGTTAACAGTAAATGATTTCGTAAGTGTTTCAATAAAAGTATTAATATTTATTTATTTTTTGAAATTATAAAGCAATAAAAAAAGATAAATTCGATAAAAAGTTAAGTAAGAAAAAATACGAGAAAATTGATTAAATAGATTAGCATAATGTTACGATAAAAAATGAATGTATTTCTTTAACTATTTGATGGCACAATAATAACATAAAATTTTTTGACAATTCAATATTTTTTATTGAGTACAACAGCATAGTCTTATCACGGATTTATATAATATAAAATTTTTAAAATAAGTTACGTGTAACTAATTAAAATGTGCGTTAACTTAACTTATTAACTGATAAAACATACTGGAAATAAATTAAGCAATAAATACAACAAATGGTAAGAATTTACACAGATTTGTTGCACACAATCGAGCGTTTAATGCCCATAAATTCAAAAAATTGGCAAAAATGTGTAAAAATCGAAACAAAATATTAGATATATTTATTTAATATACACAAGATACAAAGCAATATAATTCTAACTAATTTATCAGATATAGAGCAATGTAATTATATCTTATGTATAAGCTACATAGCAATATGCATTTTAATTAATTTTAATTTTTAATTTCTGAGCAAAATTATTTTGATTACACGTTTCACAATTATGGAAGTAAAAGGAATAAAAGAATTCTATCTATCTATCTATATATAAATCTCTCTCTATATATATATATAAACTAAACTAAACTAAACAGTGGCACGACAGCCCATAGAGGGCAAAGGCCTTCTGTTCCCATCTCAGTTTTCTTGACCTAGGGCTCTAGGGTGCAGGAGCAGATGTTCCGGTTTAGATGGTCAGCCTAACGCGGAACCCCCAGTGTTTAGTTCCCAAGCATGCTTGGTACTCATTTATCGACCCACTGAAGGAATGAAAGGGTGAGTGAACCTTGCCCGGCCCGAGGATCGAGCTCAGGACCTGTGGCACGGGAGCGCGAAGCGCTACCACTCAACCACCGGGAGTCAATTATGCTTGTACAGGACTTGATAATTTTCTACGCTTTTTGGAGAAAAAAAATTCTAAGTAATTGTTAAGTTTATATTTAAATGCTGTTACGTAATTTTGATTTTAAGTTATTTTCCACTACGTGTTCAAAAATTCATATAAAATGACTCTTTGTTCAATCTCCTACTTGGTAAGGCTATTAAAATGTTGGTAAAATTATAAATTGCTCTAGTTTTTAATTGTTTACCACTGTATAAAATATTTTGTAAAATGCGTTAAAGTTCGCAGCCTTGTCTGTAAATTATTTCTTGCTTAATTTTTCTGAAATTTCGAGGTTTCCTTAGGTCCAAAAATTTTTTTAATGTCCTCTCACTAATAACTCCTGTGTGAGATGCTGTGGTCTGGGAGATAGAGTGTTCCCCTCAGAATGATGTGTCCCAGGTTTGAAATCTCAGCTGTGACTGATATATATATATTTTCAATCGT